TATACAACTGAGTAAAAATACAACGATGCCAGAAAAGATTATTGCACATTAGTGTTATTGCACATTTGTGGATGTGTGTGTTTGATCAGTTAAAGTCTTTATTGTGGAGTCTGACAGCAGTGGGGAGGAAAGACCTGCGAAATCTCTCCGTTTGTATTTGTATTGTTTGTATTTAAATTACATCGTTTCTTTCCTCTGCGTACATCCTATAGGTATGAATTGCTTCATGTGTTGAACTTTGACCCAGTCAGAAGGCGAATGAGTGTAATCGTCAGATCAATATCAGGTGAGCTTAAGGTTACTGTCAACGTTATTGGAATGCTAATAAAATAGCGTTGGCCAGCACGTCCCTGATGCTGGGTGTCTGTATAATAGTGTGTTTTTCGTGCCCAGGTGAAACGCTGCTTTTTTGTAAGGGAGCCGACTCCTCCATCTTCCCCAGAGTCAAACAGGAGGAAGTTGAAACGATACGCATGCATGTGGAGCGTAATGCAACAGTACGTGGTGGAAAACATCTCGTTTTCCTAAATTTCTAACTGTTGGAATGATTTCATTGCTTAACATTTTGTCTTTTATAACATCAGCTGCTATTTTACTGTTTAGGATGGTTACCGGACACTGTGTGTGGCCTACAAACATCTTACCGCTGAGGAGTATGACCAGGTAGATTCAGGATTAAGGGAAGCTAGACTGGCTCTGCAGGACAGAGAGGAGAAGCTCATGGCTGTTTACAACCAAGTGGAGACTGGAATGAATCTAATTGGAGCTACTGCTGTTGAAGATCGGTGGGTGCTCACACAAAATGTATAACTGTGCTGCTCTTAATTGTGAAACTGCTGTGTTGAAACCCCAAATATGTTGATTCTGTTCATCTGGACGTAGTTTTCTGTGTTGAAACCTGCTGAATATCCTTAAATCTGCATACTTGTGCTGTTCTTGCTCCTTAATAAACATCAGTGCCAAAAAATTTGGATATTGAAATCCTCAGCACAGAGAAATCCCAGAATACACAATATTATTCATATGGAAACCAAAGGAATGCAAAAGCCTGTGATGAGCATATCACCAAGCCTTGTCTGGACTTGCTCTTTGTTATGTTGCTGCAATGAGTTAATTCCTCCCTTTGGGGATGTTTTAAATGTCATCAACTGTCACTTTTTTCACCATGTATGACTTTGGCTTT